GTGAGTGAGCGGCTGCGTGGTGCTTAGTTGCCAGCTGGGGCTAAACCATGACAGTGTATTATTTTGACTTGTCTCCTGTGGGTCCAGTTACATTTGCTTAAACCATTAACATCTGATTTCCATCCAATACATAAGAGATAATAGCTATGTTGGTCAATAATGGAATTAACTTGGATTTGTTTTTTCAGAGGTATCTTCAGAAGCTGGCCCAGCACATTTCATTCTTGGTTTTGTACTTAGTTGAAAGTTTGTGGGGTTTAATAACATTTTTATTTGTAAACCCTAACAGCTGCAGTTTCACACTCAACAACATGAATATACATCGCAAGACACTTTGGTCCGAAGAGGTTCACAGAAAAGTGCATATCAGTTCTCACAGCTTAGTATCTCTTTTCAAGTCAAACTGCTTGAAAGGTTATTCCAAGGCACAGGGGAGTCGTAAAATGTTCGTTCTTGTTTTTAAATAGATGAATTTATCATCTTCTATGTACTGAAGGTGGATAAAAGCCATTTCACCAGAAAGAAATGTCATCGTAGCTCTTCTTCCTATGCATAAGATTACTTTCCGATTTCCAGCTAAATGCTTGGGGTGTATGACTGGAGTGACTCGCGTAGTGCTTTTCTACACTTGTCTGATCTGCATCATCCTCTGTAGAATGCAAACTGATGAATTTCACTGACAGTGGGCTTGTGCCCCCTTTTTAAAATGAAACACAGATGCACTGGATGCTTTTCGCCTTAAAACGTTTTCTTTTTTTTCTTTTGTGAAAAACAATAATGGTTAAAAGCAAGACAAGGGTAGAGAAAAGGCAGCAGGCAAAGAATATTAACGGTTTCTTCTGAGAAATAAACAAGCAGAAGCTACACTGCTTTTCTTGGTTGGAGGGATTGCAGACTGAGAGGTCAGCAGGCAAGCCGTTGTTGCTTATGAGGTTATTGTAAAATTTTATTGAAGACTTTCCTTTTGAATCTGAAGTGAAAAATCCAAATCTGGGCTTAGATTTTTCTTCAGTCAGCTTAAATGCATAGTAGCCTTTAATCTTGACTTTATCAATGTAGTATGCTGGGAAGGGGGGAAGAAAAAAAAAAGAAACAAACGTTGTTAGTAAAACCTTGCATGACATGCAAACCTTCTGGTAATGAGTTCAGATTTCAAATTATCAATTTAAAAAGCATAACTGCATCGTAAAATATTTACTTATACTTACCACTTCTAACAATACTCCACTCCCACTGTCTTATCAAGTAGAAAGAATGCATCATTGTTTAAAAAGAAAAAAAAAGTCAAAATTTGAGGATTTTCTGGTCCTACTCTGTGGAAGCTGGATTTGAACAGCGTTGGAGCTGGGAGCTTGCTTTCCTGGGAGAAGCCAGGCACTGCTCTTCTAGCCGCGGTGACTCAAGGGGAGCAGCATCTGTGCTGTGAGAGGAGCTTTCCGAAAATTCCTGCCCTCTTCCAAACCCAGCTGCTCAACCCTGCAGCACTGTATGTTATGCATGACTGTATGTTATACTGCTGCACCCAAGTGTGGGGTGAAAATACTAACGAAATCATAAATAGCAGTCTTTCGTGAGTGAACATCTCTCCAGTTCATGTGTAAGCAGACAGCATAGTTGGGGATGTGGCCCAGATTAAGCAAGAATGTTGTAAATGTGTGTGGGATCTTTCTGTGAGTACTATGAAGTATCATGTCTGAAAATTAAAGTGGCAATACTATCATGAGTGCCTTTTAAACAACCTTTCAGTTTAATAATTTATTGTTCTTTTGTTTGCAATGTGAAACTAGCACAGAAAATAAATCAGCAAATGCTCATTAGTCCTCTAGTAACTGAGAAAGAGCTAAGCACTGGAGGGGGAATGCTCTGTTTCTTGTTGGTGTCTAAAAGTAATCTGAAGCCATGCCTAGCCATGGGTAAGATCCATCTCATTTTTTACCTAGCTAGCTCCTAGAGAGGAGGAACCGGGATATGTGCAGAGGGATCTGGACAGGCTGGATTGATGGGCTGAGGCCAATTGTATGAGGTTCAACAAGGCCAAGTGCTGGGTCCTGCACTTGGGTCACAACAACCCCACACAACGCTACAGGCTTGGGGAGGAGTGGCTGGAGAGCTGCCCGGCGGAAAGGGACCTGGGGGTGCTGGTTGACAGCCGGCTGAACATGAGCCGGCAGTGTGCCCAGGTGGCCAAGAAGGCCAACAGGGTCCTGGCCTGTATCAGAACTAGTGTGGCCAGCAGGAGTAGGGAAGTGATCGTGCCCCTGT